AAAACCCCCCCACAAAAAACCCCCAAACAAACCCTAGACATGAGAAAACACAAGCAAGGCAGAAAAGAAGCGTGAGCTCAGAGGTACCCTCTCACCTCCCCGTCAAAATCAATGGGTATAATCATCACACCAGTGCCCCCTCCACATCTTCTTAATAATACAATTATTTGAACAGTGTGGCGCGTGATTAGCGCCCGGTGGGTGGCGTAGTGACGGGGATTTGTCGCCTCAGCTCCGCGCGTGCCCCGCGTGAGTTCTGACTTCAGCCAACGACTGACGGATCTTGGGCGCACCGGGGAGCCACATTTTTTAATGATCTGAAGGACGGGCAGCGAGATGAAGAGAGAGAGAGAGAGAGAAAGAGAGAGAGAGAGAGAGAGAGAGAGAGAGAGAGAGAGAGAGAGAGAGAGAGAGAGAGAGAGAGTAATTTCGTTTGATTTCCGAGGTTTGATCAGGTGGTTAACGTCCTTAATGCTGCATGTGCAAACATAGTTTTTTCATGTTATTGCTTCTAGTTTTGTTATTCCTGGTATTCTGCATTGTTGCTGCTGTAGCTATTGCTTTGTTGTTGTTGTTGTTGTTGTTGTTGTTGTTGTTGTTGTTGTTGTTGTTGAAGTTGTTGTTGAAGTTGTTGGTGGTGGTTTCGGCGGCGGTAATGGCTTCAGTGGAGGCTTGGTTGTTGTTTTTGTTGTTTTTATTGTTGTTGTTGTTATTGTTGTTGCTGTTATTATTGCTGTCGTTGTTGATGAGATGTTGTTGTTGTCGGTGGTGGTGGTGGTTTGGAAATTGTTATGGTGGAAGTAGTGGCTTTGTTGTGCTGTTGTTGTTGTTGTTGTTGTGGAGGTAGTGGTGGTCGTGGTGGCGGTGGTTGGTAGTGGTATCGTCGTCGGTTTAGAGGAAACTGCGGCCCTGCCATATGACCACCACTTACTGTGATTATATGAGTGCTGAACTGTTTCCATTTTTCCCCACATGCAAACGAGCGAGAGCTACAAGCTGAGTCTACCCGACTCTGGTATATCCCAGAATGAAGAAAGCTAATGCGGAGGAAAAGTTAGATGGATTTATTTCCCACGATAACATTCGCCACCAGAATACACCATTAATTAATGAAGAATCTGTTCAAGGTAAACAGCAACTTGAGATACCAACTGCAGGTCAATATTATTTAAAGGTCCAGGTTTCGCTACCACATGCACCCCTCCCTCCCCTTCCGTCCTCCCCCTCCCCTCTCTCTCTCTCTCCCCCTCTCTCTCTGTCTCTGTCTCTGTCTCTCTCTCTCTCTCTCTCTCTCTCTCTGTTTTCTACTATATCTGCTTCAGTATTTTTCTCTCTTCCCAAAGACTGCTTTAACGCAGAGGTACAGGAGAGTGGGAGATATGAAGAACAAGAGTTCAGGCCACCAGAGATGGTAAGCTCAAGTACAATTACATACAGTTTTTCCATTTCCTTAGCCCTAAAAAAAAGGCATTTAATTATTGATTGAGAATTAACAACTGTGTATTTTTCTCTGAGCCGAGAGTCATTGTTTCTACTCTATCTGTAAACCATTTTGGTTGGCGAAAATATGAGACTTAAAACTTAGAGAATATTTCAGTTCTGCCACTTTCAGCTCGCCAATGCTTTACAGTTGCTGCATGTTTTTCATTATGTTACTCTTTAAGGACAATTATCT